AGGCAGGAGAATTGCCTGAACCCAGGAGGCGGAGGTTGCGGTGAGCCAAGATCGCGCCATTGCACTCCAGCCTGGGTAACAAGAGTGAAACTCCGTCTCAAAAAAAAAAAAAAAAATTCATCCATATCGACTCATGTAGCAGTAGCAGTGGATCATTTTCTCTGATATATAGATTATCTTGTTTGAACATATCACAATTTAATTACCCATTCTATTGATGATAGACAATGAGACTCACCCCTTTCTCCATCTTTTTTTTTTCTTTCCCATAACGAAACAGTATTGCTAATGAGTATTTTTATACCTGTATCTTGGTGTACATGGGTATAAGTTTTTATATGGCTGTTGATGGATCAAATGGGTAGGTCTACCTGTACATACCAACTGTTTTCCAAAGTGGTTGAACCAGTTTAAACTGCCTTTGGCTATGGATAAGAATTACTGTTGTTCACTTCAGCAAAGTCTCAGGATACAAAATCAATGTGCAAAAATCACAAGCATTCCTATACACCAATAATAGACAAACAGCCAAATCATGAGTGAACGCCCATTCACAATTACTACAAAGAGAATAAAATACCTAGGAATGCAACTAACAAGGGACGTGAAGGACCTCCTCACTATAAAGCACCACTCAAGGAAATGAGAGGACACAAACAGATAGAAAAACATTCCATGCTCATGGTTAGGAAGAATCAGTATCTTGAAAATGGCCATACTGCCCAAAGTAATTTATAGATTCAGTTCTATCCCCATCAAGCTACCACTAACTTTCTTCACATAATTGGAAAAAGCCACCTTAAATTTCATATGGAACCAAAAAAGAGCCTGCATAGCCAAGACAATCCTAAGTAAAAAAACAAAGCTGGAGGCATCACACCACCTGACTTCAAACTATACTACAAGGCTACAAGTAATCAAAACAGCATGGTACTGGTACCAAAACAGAGATACAGACCAATGGAACACAACAGAGGCCTCGGAAATAATGCCACACATCTACAACCGTCTGATCTTTGACAAACCTGACAAAAACAAGCAATCAGGAAAGGATTCCCTATTTAATAAATGGTGCTGGGAAAACTGGCTAGCCATATGCAGAAAGCTGAAACTGGATCCCTTCCTTACACCTTATACAAAAATTAATTCCAGATGGATTAAAGATTTAAACATAAGACCTAACACCATAAAAACCCTAGAAGAAAACCTAGGCAGTACCATTCAGAACATAGGCATGGGCAAGGACTTAATGACTAAAACACCAAAAGCAGTGGCAACAAAAGCCAAATTAGACAAATGGGATCTATAAAGAGCTTCTGCACAGCAAAAGAAAATATCATTAGAGTGAACCGGCAACTAACAGAATGGGAAAAAGTTTTTGCAATCTACCCATCTGACAAAGGGCTAATATGCAGAATCTACAAAGCACTTAAACCAATTTACAAGAAGTGGGCGAAGGATATGAACAGATACTTCTCAAAAGAAGACATTTATGCAGCCAACAAACATATGAAAAAAACCTCATCATCACTGGTCATTAGAGAAATGCAAATCAAAACCACATTGAGATACCATCTTATACTAGTTAGAACGGTGATCATTAAAAAATCAGGAGACAACAAATGCTGGAGAGGATGTGGAGAAATAGGAATGCTTTTACACTGTTGGTGGGAATGTAAATTAGTTCAACCATTGTGGAAGACAGTGTGGTGATTTCTTAAGGATCTAGAACTAGAAATACCGTTTGACCCAGCAGTCCCATTACTGGGTATATACCCAAAGGATTATAAATCATTCTATTATAAAGACAAATGCACATGTATGTTTATTGTGACACTGTTCACAATAGCAAAGACTTGGAACCAACCCAAATGCCCATGAATGTAGACTGGATAAAAAAAAATGTAACACATATATACCATGGAATACCATGCAGCCATAAAAAGGGATGAGTTCATGTCCTTTGTAGGGACATGGTTAAAGCTGGAAGTCATCATTCTCAGCAAACTGACACAAGAACAGAAAACCAAACACGGCATGTTCTCACTCATAAGTGAGTGTTGAACAATAAGAACACATGGACATGGAGAGGGCAACATCACACTGGAGCCTGTCAGGGGATGGGGGTTGGGGAGGGCGGATAGGGGAAGGTTAGCATTAGGAGAAATGCCTAATATAGATGACGGGGTGATGGATACAGCAAACCACCATGGCATGTGTATACCTATGTAACAAACCTGCATGCTCTGCACAGGTACCGCAGAACTTAAAGTATAATAATTAAAAAAAAAAAAAAAGATTTACTGTTGCTCTGCATATTTGCCAACACTTGGTATTGGTTGGCTTTGATATTTATATTTCTCAGTGCTTTTAATTTGCATTTTCCTGGTCACTAATTAGGTGGAGCATCTTTTCATATGCATATTGACCATTTACGTTTCCCCTTCTAGGAAATTTCTTTTTGTCTTTTATATTTTTCTATTAGATTGCCTTTTTTTCTTCAGGTGTTTACAGGTTCTTTCAAAGAGACTTTTTATACTAATCCCTGATATAAAGACATTAGTCTGGTAGTAAGATGAATAAAATGAATTTATTTGTCACTATAGATATTGTTGCCAACTTCAGTCAGGATAATTGGGACAGTGGCGTCTGAATTAAAATTTTTCTCTTGAGTTCGATCAGTAGCGGGAGCGGAGAGCGGACCCCAGAGAGCCCTGAGCGTTCTACCGCCACTGCTGGCCTAGTTTCTATCACACCCCAGGAGGAGGGAGGAGCCGCAGCTGTCGCAGCCAGCCGCAGTCACCATCACAGCAACCATGAGCAGCGAGGCCAAGACACAGCAGACGCCCTCCGCCCCTCGCCCCCTGCCATCCTGGCCCTCAGCGCTGCAGACACCAGGCCCGGCACTACGGGCAGTGGGCAGTGCAGGGAGCGGTGGCCCAGGTGGCCTCACATTGTTGGCGCTTGCTGGTGGGGACGAGAAGGTCATCACAATGAAGGTTTTGGGAACAGTAAAATGGTTCAATGTAAGGAACGGATATGGTTTCATCAACAGGAATGACACCAAGAAAGATGTATTTGTACACCAAGCTGCCATAAAGAGGAATAACCCCAGGAAGTACCTTGGCAGTGTAGGAGATGGGGAGATTGTGGAGTTTGATGTTGTTGAAGGAGAAAAGGGTTCAGAGGCAGCAAATGTTACAGGTCCTGGTGGTGTTCCAGTTCAAGGCAGTCAATATGCAGCAGAGTGTAACCATTATAGACGTTATCCATGTCGTAGGGGTCTTCCACGCAATTACCAGCAAAATCACCAGAACAGTGAGAGTGGGGAAAAGAAGGAGGTATCAGAGTGCTCCTGAAGGCCAGGCCCAACAGTGCCGGCCCCACTGCAGGCGAAGGTTCCCACCTTATCACATGCACAGACCCTATGGGCATCGACCACAATATTCCAACCCTCCTGTGCAGGGAGAAGTGATGGAGGGTGCTGACAACCGGGGTGCAGAGAACAAGGTAGACCAGTGAGGCAGAATAAGTATCAGGGATATAGACCACGATTCCACAGGGGCCCTCCTCGCCAAAGACAGACTAGAGAGGACGGCAATGAAGAGGATAAAGAAAATCAAGGAGATGGATGAGACCCAAGGTCAGCAGCCACCTCAACATCGGTACTGCAGCAACTTCGATTACCAATGCACATGCCCAGAAAACCCTCAACCACAAGATGGCAAGGGGACAAAAGCAGCTGATCCACCGGCTGAGAATTCGTCCACTCCCGAAGCTGAGCAGGGTGGGGCTGAGTAAATCCTGGCCTACCATCTCTACCATCATCCGGTTTAGTCATCCAACAAGAAGAAATGAAATTCCAGCAATAAGAAATGAACAAAAGATTGGAGCTGAAGACCTCAAGTGCTTGCTTTTTGCCCATTGACCAGATAAATAGAACCATCTGCATTATCTATGCAGCATGGGGTTTTTATTATTTTTACCTAAAGACGCCTCTTTTTGGTAATAACAAATGTGTTTTTTAAAAAAGCCTGGTTTTTCTCAATACGCCTTTAAAGGTTTTTAAATTGTTTCATATCTGGTCAAGTTGAGATATTTAAGAACTTCATTTTAAATTTGTAATAAAAGCTTACAACTTGATTTTTTCAAAAAAGTCAACAAACTGCAAGCACCTGTTAATAATAAAGGTCTAAAATAATTGAAAAAAAATTTTTTTTTTCTCCCTTTAACCATAGGATTCACTTTAAGAGATTTGGAAACTCTTCCTTTTGGAGTTGCTCTTCCCATCAGAGATGCAATTTATCACTGTCGTGAGCAGCCTGCCTCAGACTGGCCAGAAGCTGTCTGTCTCTTGATTGGACGTCAGGATCTTTCCAAGCAGGCGTGTGAAGGAAACTTACCCAGAGGGAAGTCTGTGAGTATTAACATAGAAAGTTCAGAGTTCAGTTTTAACCTTAAATAAAATCATAAAGTAGAAATATTCTTCATTTTCCTTTAAGCCTTTTTGTAACTATATATATCAGTTTGTCTTTTATATTAAATGCCAGATGGGGTTTGTAATTGTATGCATCTTATTAATTGTAAGTTGAGCATGGGAGCAGGAGATGTGAGTGTTTTGTCTTGTGCCTGGACCTTTCTTTGCCTTGAATCAGGAGAAGCCCTGAGGGTAGTCATGGAAACTACCATGGCTAATTCCCTCCTTGTACCATATTAGTAATTAACCACTTTGTAATTATTACATAGGAAAAGGGAGAGGACATGTATCCTGAATTTGGATGGTTAATTATACACAAATATTTTCTCCTTCATATTTTTTGATGGGTTGAATTTCTTGAATTTAACCTTTTAAATAGGTGTAAATATATTTAAAAGGTGTAGGTGTAAATATTTTTAAACAGGTGTAAATCACATAAAACTGCAGCCCAGGAAAAGAAATTTTTTTTCTTAGAGTTATTTAAAAGGATATCTTAAGTTATCCCTCCTAAAATACTGTCTTTCATCAATCTTCAAGTCTGTTTTTATTTAAATTAGTTCTAGGAGTCCTACAAGTAGAAAATAAAATTATTTCATTTCTTTCTAATTATCTTTTTAAATCATCCTTTCTTAAAGCTTAAAAATGAAACTTTTAAATGTTTCATTGTTTAAAAGTTTATCTAAAAGTTTTGTTATTCTAGAATTCTAGTTAACTTTTAAAAATAATAGTTAACTTTAAAAAATAAATGGTAGAATCTCATCAAGGAAGATTCAGGAATCATTATTCCATTCCTGGTGATTCTTTTATTTTCATGTCCCTGAGAAGACAGTGGGAATTTTGCCTTGCCTCTTAGTAGCTTTTGAATCAATACATAATAATCAGTACATTATAACTATGAGTCACCTTAGGCCTTATTACTGCTTCAGAGCCTGTATCAAATCTTACTCCTAACCTCAGAGTTGCCTATGTGGACCCATACCAGAGTCAGTTCCCATGGGCATCTAATCCCCAGCAGAGTCATCCCAGCACATCCCTTCTTTAATCTGCATCTCAGTCACAGCTCTTCATTGAATTAGTATTTATGTCCTGTTTTAAACAGAAAACAAATCTTTTTGCTTATAATATGATTTTCCTATGAGAAAGAGCAGTTCAGCACTATTAGCATTAAAATATTAATCTGTATTTGAATGTCATTTTAAGTTTGTTCAGTTACTACATTTTATAACCTCATCTAAATTTATGTTGTTATTATTCGAGACTATATTTTATAGCTAACTCATCCATTAGAATACAGTTTATTTTTATTTAGATGTTTTATAGGAATCAAAATGAATTTTTGTTAACTAAAAGTGATTATTTGGTTATATCTACTTTTAAAATTTTTTTCCGGGCTAACCTTGTTGCTTTCCCATTAAATGTTGTAAACTTTAACATTTCAACTCGGAGTTGTTAAGTGTATAAAACTCTTGAGAGAATATGATATGATTCCTTGCAATTCACATCTGTTTTCCAGTTAGAGTTAATTATTTGGACTGGGAAGCCCCATATTAAAGCACATGCTGGACTTACGAGAACATGATGACATTCCACCAGTTTATCCTCTTACTTGTTTTGCTACATTCAGTACTTTTCCTTCTAAGAAATTTTTATTGGAAACACATTTAGAAAAAATAGTGAAAACTGGCTGGGTGTGGTGGCTCATGCCTGTAATCTCGGCACTTGGGGGAGGCCAAGGTGGAAGACTGCTTGAGCCCAGGAGTTTGAGACCAGCCTAAGCAACATAGTGAGACTTCATCTGTACTTAAAAATTAAAAAAAAAAAAAAAAGTTTAGCCAGGTATAGTGGTATGTGCCTGTAGTCCTAGCTACTTGGAAGGCTGAAGTGAATGGATCTCCTTGAGGTCAGGAGTTCAAGACCAGCGTGTTCAATAGGGAGAAACTCTGTTTCTACAAAAAATTTTAAAAAAATTATCTGGGTTGGTGGTGCACATATGTAGTTCTAGCAACTTGGGAGGCTAAGGTGGAAAGATTGCTTGAGCCCAAGAGGTTAGAGGTTATAGGGAGCCATGATCACACGACTGCACTCCAGCCTGAGTGACAGAGCAAGACCCTGTCTCAAAAAAAAAGAAAACAGAAAAAAATGTGGAAATCCAACCATGATCCTATCTATTTCAAGTAGCAAAATAAGAAAGTATTTCATTGTGTGACTTCCCCCAGCCCTTGGTATCTATCCTTTCTGTCTTTTTTCTTTCTCCTTCTATTAATGAACAGACAGTATTTAAATTAGCATTATTAGCAGTGACTGGTGTTCATATTCTACTTGCAATAATTTGTTTCTTTTTTAAAATGATTAGGATGTAGTTAGATTTTTTTTTTTTTTTACCATTTATTCAGAATATTTCTCTGCTTGTATCCAGCTTCTTGACTGTTGTCCTAAATTGAAACTTTCTCCCTCAGTTCAAGTAAAAATATTTCCAAGTATAGATAATCTGATGCTTTTTGTTTGTTTGTTTGTTTTGAGATGGAGTCTCACTGTGTCACCCAGGCTGGAGTACAGTGGGTTGCAATCTCGGCTCACTGCAACCTCTGCCTCCCACATTCAAATGATTCTCCAGCCTCAGCCTCCCAAGTAGCTGGTACTACAGGCACACACCACTGCGTCCAGCTAGTTAATTTTTGTGTTTTTATTATAGATAGGGTTTCACCATGTTGGCCAAGCTGGCCTGGTACTCCTGACCTCAAGTGATCCGATACCTCGGCCTCCCAAAGTGTTGGCATTACAGTTGTGAGCCACCACGCCCGGCTGGCAATATAATACTTTTAAAAAATATTTGTAGATTAGAGCCCCAGTGTATGTTGCAACCCTAACCCATCCCTGTTTTGGAAAACATATTTTCTCTGTTTAGTGAAAATATGGCTAGTTTAGTCATGGCACATCAGTCTGTATATCCTCATGTTCAGTAATTGCATGTTGATGGCTTTTTAAATTATTATTATAATGAAGTCTGTTACTCAGGTGCTCTCATCAGATGTTCCTTCAGGAACAGAAACTGAGGAGGAAGATGATGGCATGAATGACATGAATCATGAGGTCATGTCATTAATATGGAGTGAAGATTTAAGGGTACAGGATGTGCGAAGACTTCTTCAGAGTGCCCATCCTGTCCGCGTCAATGTAGTGCAGTACCCAGAGCTCAGCGACCACGAGTTCATTGAGGAAAAGGAAAACAGGTGAAAGAAAACACTGTACTATCTCTTCTCGTGTTTTATTGTTACATTTGGGTCTTGTTTATATTATTGTTACATTTGGGTCTTGTTTATATTTGTTCTTCCTTCAAGTTTTTAGCTTTTAAAACCCTAAAAAGATTTAAAAGATACTTTCAAGTTAAAATATGCCCTGTGTTTTAAGTTTTCATCTAACTTCAACAAACCACATGTGTTAGCAAAAAATCTTTGGCTTTTGAGGACATAGTTGTTGTTTCAGATCTTCCTCCTCTTGAAATACATATAATGGTTTACTCTTTAGAAAAGGTGAATCTAAAACTGTTTTGCCGGGTAAGTTACCTTAAGAATTTACAAATAAAACACTGGACTTGTTTTTCTGTGTCTTGATCTGGAATAGATTTTGAGGTTAGTGGGGTTTTGTTTTAATGTAGTTTAAACTTATACCAGTATTTTTTTTCTTTCTTTCTTTTTTTTTGGGGGGGGGGATATGATAGATAATACTCGAAATAAAAAGATAAGGCAAAATACATAAGCCTTTCTTCTGCCACTTCCCTGCACAGGATACATCCCTTGATAAATTTTTTAAGACTCACTGGTAAATGATATCACATGCCTATGACATTCCAGAGCTATTCTCTTAGGACACTTCTATGTTAAAATTCTTTCCTGTTCTTTTATCTGTCTTGTCTCTATCATTTATTGTTCACCTGCCACTGTTTTCTAGTTCTCCTTACTTTTTTTTTTTGAGACAGAGTTTCGCTCTTGTTACCCAGGCTGGAGTGCAATGGCATGATCTCGGCTCACCGCAACCTCCGCCTCCCGGGTTCAAGCAATTCTCCTGCCTCAGCCTCCTGAGTAGC